AACAGTGACTGTGCCAACGCAGTGCACCCCACTCGCTACTTCCGCTGCCTGAGCGCTACTCAGGCAAGCGATCGTGTCCTGGAATGTTTTAAAACGCTAACAACGTAGAAGCTGATATGACTGAGTCCACCGTCAAGGTCAAGGCTCACCGCGACGCGGACGAGGAAGGCACTCTGCCCGTGAAAGGTTCTTGCGTTTAGGCAATCGCGATGCAGACGCCGGGGCCAAGCATGGCCTACAGCTTCACCCAGCTGATGCGACCGGCAATCTAGAGTTAGATGCTCTGGTCACTGTAGCTTGTGCGTGCTGTATCCGAGCTGCCAACTTATTGCCGCTCTGGCCTAAGACGTCGCTCGATGTCCCCCACGCGCCCGCGCCTGCCGCCCCCAGCCAGGCCAAGGTCTCACACGCCTGGTAAAAGGTGGTCAGGTATTTGGAGGTGCCCTCAGCGCCTGCATGGCAAAAGGTCCCCGCAACAAGAGCACCCATCCAGGTAGGTGCAACAATATGTCTAAATTGGACGATGCATGTTCTTCAGAGTCTAGGCCATAGAGTCATTGCATTTCATTGTTCCGATGGTTCGGTATGATTCATTTGTGTCAGACGTAAATGTCACTCGACGGGCAGCAGGGCCAAAAGCCTTGGAGAGCGTTGCGAAGGCAGGTCATCCAGACATGCTGGCACTGGATGGAACTACCTTCGCCGCGGCTTACACCCCCACGAGGAACGTCGAGCTGTTACAGTTTCCCTTGGTGGTGTGCTTGAGTTTATGTTGAGCTAGTTGTTTTGCCACGAGTGGGCTTAGATGGTGGGTTCGGTCGGGGGTTTTGCGACGTCCTGTTTGACGGTACTGGTTACGCTGCCAGCCCTGGAACTCGGGCCTTGGAGTTCCGTCGAGCAGGCGTCGCTAGCCGTCTTTTTCGCTGCCTAGTGATGCCCACGCCCCCTTGTTGCACGGCCGTGGGGCGATGTCTCCCTCGCGGTGACCGCCGCTCGAGGCGGTGTTTTTCCTGTCGCAGTGCGCGCCAGGGCACGGGGGAGGCAATTCTGTCCTCCCTGACCGTTCGCCCTGCTATGCGTGGCACCGTTTTAGCTGTGTCGCGGCGTGAATTGGGCTCAAGTGGCATGTTCGATTTGGGATTTAGTTGCGCCCTGCTCGTCGGTGCTGGTTACGCTGCCGGCCCTGGAACTCGGGCCTTGGAGTTCCGTTGCGCAGGCGTCGCTGGCCGTCCTCTTCATTGCCTCGCGCTGCCCACGCCCCTTGTTTGCACGGCCGCGGGGCGATGTCTCCCCCGCGGTGACCGCTGCTCAGGGGGCCGCCCCCAGTGTCAAGAGAGCGCGTCAGGCCACGGGGGAGACAAACGTCCTCCCCGACCGTCGCCCTCTAAGGCGCTGGCTTATTGAGCCTTTGGCTCTCGGCGAGAGATGGGCTCATGCGGCAGGTTCGATCTGGGTTTTTTGCAGCGTCCTGCTCGGCGGCGCTGGTTACGCAGCCAGCCCTGGAACTCGGGCTTCGGAGTTTCGTCGCGCAGACGCCGCTGGCCGTCCTTTTCACTGCCCTGTGCTGTCCTCGCCCCCCTGTCGCGCGGCCGCGGGGCGGTGTCTCCCCTGCGGTGACAGCTGCTCAGGGGGCCGCCACCGTTTTTTGCCCAGTGTGCGAGGCAGGGCACGGGGAACTTGCCCTCCCCGACCGCGCGCCCTGCCGCGGCCTTCAGGACATTCGGGGCAGCTTCGTGCACAGCCGATGCTACCCAGTCGCCCGCGCCTTAGGCGCGTGGTGGAAGGTCCCCATTCGAGGGCCAGTGCTGCTGTGCTGTCTGGCTTGGGCCCCTGTCCAGGTGTAGCTCGTTCCCCAAAGTTCGAGCGTGCCTGCGAGGGGCCACCCAGCGTCGGGTCTCTGAGCCAAGTCTCGCGTTCGCGCCTTGGCACACCCGTCGCTCTCGCGCGGCTGCTGCAGAGATTGCCCAGCTTCTCTGCTCGGCTGCGCTCGGCTTTTTACGTTTGCACTGTCTCTGGCCTGGCAGGCCAGACAGTGATTCAAGGTTTTTAACAGCGGCCATGTCTTGCGCAGCTGACGGAGGCCCTGTCGTTGGCGTCTGAGCCGAGGGTCGATCCGCAAGGGGGGGGGGGGGGGGGGGGCATACCGGGCGCTCCGAAAGGAACTCGCGAAGCCTCCCCCCCGAAGCGGCGCTCGCCGAGGCGAGGTCGCCCCTTTCTTGCACCTGCTGCCCGGCGCATGTAGCTGACAGCATGGCCCACAGTTGATGTAAGGAGTCGTCTCTCTTTTGGCTTATGTGGTGAAGCCGTCGATGGCAAAATTACCCCTCATCATCATCGCCCTCCTCCTCCTCGTCATCATCATCATCATCATCATATTCCTTATCCTCCCTCCCTTCTCGCCCTCTTCCTCATCCTTCCTCGCATTCCTCCTTCTCCTCCTCCTCATAGCATGCCCTGAGCATGGCCCCTAGGTTCCTGATGGCCAGCGGCCCGTGCGGCTTCTGCATCTCATCCTCATCATCTTCCC